ATGTGTTTCAAAACTTTGGTCCTGGATTGGTTAAAAAAAACGTATTTGGGTGTGTTTTAATTTTCTGTATTTTTCTGTTTTCACGCAAAATTGGGTGCCACAACTATTCATCAAAATGGGTCAAGTGATGCATCAACTTAAAACCCTTTCCATCATGAATCAAACAAAATTTAAAAATTTGAAAAATTGATTTTTGGTCTAATTTTGACCAAATAAAGCAAGCAAACAGGCTTATTTATTTTATTTCAGCCACTTGCAATAGTCTATTTCTGCAGATATTTAGTTTTACTTAGGTTAAAAAAAGTTTAAAGAAATTTTTCAACGCCATTTAGATAACTAAAGGGCGTTATTGGCACCAAAGCAGCCTTTAGAATTGTTATTCAGATAACAGATAAAAGTACTTAAAAGTAGCGCAATGAGTTACCATGGGCCGAATCTTTGAAGAAAAGGGTTGACAACAAAACAAAAAAATAGCATCAAATTTTCTCGCTGTGAGTTAAAAAATCTGCAAAAACCTGTTTCACGGTTTGGCTAAGTTTCTCTATTGGACAAAACTAAGTCGAATATATTTTTTATTCCCAAAATGATTCTGTTTATTTACCATATTGAACAGCTATTACCCAGAATTGAAACAAATAAACAGAAAATCCTAAGAAAACTTCAAAACTTCAAAAAATTTTAGCAAAAAAAATTGAAAAACTTTTTGGATTTTTTTTTCCGATTTTTTATCACATTTTTTGGCTGTCTATTCATTGATTTAGAAAAATGGTTTCCTAGTTTGCTACGTATTTTGAAATACCTAATTTATATTTTTCGTTTAGATACTTTTATCACACCACGCAGAAAAAACTAGGCTTAATTTATTTTGATTTTTAAAACTGTTTTGATTTTTTAAAACTAGGGTCGAAACATCTTGTGCTACTTGCACAGCAACCGGCTATCTTTGTTTTTATTCGAGTTTGATCTGAGCTAACCTGTTTTATTGTTCACTGTTCCAAGGAATATTTTTGTTTGGGGTGGTTTTATTTATTCACACCAGTTTCCAAAGAACTTTTACTCACTCAGAAGGATATGCCCCTGGATCTTCGGGCACCCCGTCGGGTCCGCATATAATTAAATTACCATAAAATGAGTCATTCTCGATCCTAGTTTTTTCGATACTGAGTTCTTGACGCGAACTATTTTCCGTGTGGCGAATTATCCCGGAGTACAAAATTGTTCCAATTTCATTTGAGGCAAGCTAATTGGTTTTTAAAATTCATTTATGACCTAAGTTTTAACACTTTAACCATGATTTAATCAAGTTGAACTCATATTTTGTGAATGCTTTTTCTACCGAAAATATTTCTTGACTAAACACAGTTCAGTTGGAATATTCAGGGCTTTAACCTGATGAAAGCAGTTTTGTTGTCATTATGAACAGTCGATTCGATAGTTTTCAAGACAGACTCGACCGTCGATTTGACTGTTCACAAGTTCGCGTTTTTTCCACAGTCTGTCTTGAAAATGAAAGTTAATCAGCAACAAATCAAATCAGCCTTTAGAAATATTATTCAAAAAAATTAGATGTCATAAAAAGAGTGGCCACGTTCGAATCTTTGAAGAAAAGGGTTGACAACATAACAGGAAAATAGCATCAAAGTTTCTCTCTGTTAATATGGTGCATGCGGCAATTGGCAATAAACCAATTTTATGCACATTACAATTCTTTGGAATCGCTTTGAATGGTTTTAGTAAGCTTCAAAAAACAATGAATTTCATTATTTTTTCACATCCGTTTTTTCTTATATCTTAAACATTTGATTTATGAAAATTGGAAGCGAACATTTCACATCCTTTAAAATTTTCACACACAAAAGTTTAGTTATTGAATGTATGACAAACTTAGCATTGTTTTACATGAAAACTGAAGAAAAATAAAAAAAAATGTGCGAGGTTCTATGTAGTTCTCAAAGGGGGGCATTCAATAAAAACGTTTGATAGTTTCTCAACTTTTTGTGAGGTTGACTGAACTGATTTTCTGGCTCTCTTAAAACTTCTGAAACGTAATTTTTAAAGAAATGTCCGTTTTTTAGGTCAAAACTGAGGCTCTTTTTGAGCAATTATTGGCAAGTTTTGACCGACCACAAGATTGCGTTTTTCAGTCTGTCTTCAAAGTGAGAATTTATTAGCACCAAAGCAGCCTTTAGAATAACTATTCAAACAAGAATAGATTTCATAAAACAGTACAAAAATAAGCGCTATGAGTGGCCACGGGCCAAATCTTTGAAGAAAAGGGTTGACGACAAAACAGGAAAAGAACATCAAAGTTTCTCTCTGTGAGTTTAAAAATAGCAAAAATCTGCTTTAAAGCTGGAAAAAACTAAGTCGAATATTTTTTTACTCACAAAATGATTCTGTTCAATTACCATTTTGAACAGCATTCTTTTAGAATTAAAACAGAAATCTATACCAGTTTAAATGATCTTTGCCAACCCTCCTTTGCCCATTTTTTTTAATGGTTTACCAATTTTTCTGATTTCCAATGTCTGCAGCAAAGGCATAAAAGCTTTCAACACTTCTTTTTGCTTGGTTTATTTCAATCTAACCGGCAGTATTTAAACAAAATACTTCACGGCTCTCGTAAAATTGTCGAAAATTTATATTTTTAAACGAGGAACAACTTGGTAAATACTAAAAACCAAAGCTGATCATTTTTTATAATGCTTGGCAATGGTCATTAGTCCGAGTACTGTTTATTTTGAGTGATTGTTGGGACCATGTGAACAATCCCCCCCTCCTCGAATTGAATTAGGGGGGTAAAGGGCACTTGGATGTTTCACTTTTTTGCAAATTGAACAATACAAACCTTCAACCAATCAGAATGCAGTACTTTCGAGAGCAAGGAAACAAGACCGCTTGTTTTAGTGCAAAACGCTGAAGGTCCCGACTGCCCTGCAGTTGGTCTCATATAGTTTTTGGCAATGTAAATATTGGTAAAATTATGGATTTTAGGCTGGTCATATTCAAATTTAAGTGTTGCAATTTGAGTAGCGTATGCAGTTGAGAAAGTCAATTAACTGCACCAGTTTAATTCGGACCGTTTTTGTATAGCGGGATAATTAGCCACGTGTAAATTAAAAAATGAGCAGTTTAATTTTACTCCTGACAGGTTACTATAGTGGCTTGTGCACCTGGATGGACCCATGCAGATCAAGAGATTGATCCCCTGAGTGACCAGAGTTTTGTAAATTTGGTCTCATTAAAAAACCACTCGAGCATAAAAATTGGATCTCAGAAACATGAAACAATAAATGAAGCTGAGTAAATATTTGGTGGTACATAAGCCAACCGAAGATTAATCTAGTTAAAAATAGGAAATGGCTATGCAATAGTTATGTAACAATTATGTAACAGTTAGAAAATTTATGCGAATTTCATTTATATGACGCAAAATTTTGGCTGGTTTTTGTACTATCAAATATTTGACGCGACAAAAAATTATAGCGCGAAAAAAATTACGTGTCAAATGTCCCTAAATGGCTCAATTGGCAATCTTTAACCCATAACTTTACAAGAAATGATCACAGAAGAATTAACTCTTGTATTTTGAGCTCAGGGAAAAAAATGCTAAATAAAAAGTCGAAACTTGTCTGGAGAAAAACCATCCCGAGCACAAATATTCCTTAACTTATTAGAAAGTCGGAACAGCAACTTGGATTGTTATCAACCCGTTAAAACTTTGAATAAAAAATGCTCGGTTGTCATCGGAACTTTTTTCAATGTTGTCCAATAAGTTGCTAAATTTGTCATTTATTTGGTTTGGATGGAGAAAGTTGGCTTGGTAGATGTGAACTGTGGCGAATTTTGATCGATTTGAACTTTGAATTTGGTCGATGAAGGGGGGGGGGATGTTGGAAAGAATGTCCACATTGGCCGAATTTTGTCCAAATTTTGTCAATTTTGTCCTTTAACGTATCTAAAAATTGAGGGAAAAGGAATCAAAATATCTCATTCCAATAAGGGCAATGAATATATCATCAAGTTGGCTGAAAATTATCCATGGTTTGAGCTGTTAGGCCTTAGCCTTCCTCGAAACTCGAAACTGGAATTGTTTGTTTCAGCATGATTGTTGAGATCACTTTAAACCAATTTAATTAGATCATCGATTATAGCCGAGGCCATTCTTATAATAAATTTAAAAATGGTTCATAACCATTTTGGTTCACACGTTGGTCAAGAAAAAAAGGCGCAGTCAGCTATCTTTAAAAATAATTGCCATTTGGCAGATGGGAGTCAAATACTTGAGAAATAGTCGAACTTTTCATTCAATAACCAAAAAATGTTTGGAGCAAAATATAAGCGAAGCATCAATTTGACTTTCAGCTTAAGGCAATATGGTTTTATGTATGGTTTTATGACAATTATTATGACAGCTATCAAAATGATACATACAACTTTCAACTTAAAACTTAAACTTAAAAACTTTAACTTTAAACTTACAACTTTAAACTTTTAACAACTTTACATAAAACTTCAACACAGAAAATCAATAGCCTGAAAAAAACTTAACGTAAGATAGCAACACTATTAGAGAACAATAATATACGGTTGCTCTGCAAGCAGCACAGAAAATTTCGACCACATTAACGAGAAATGGCCGAAACAAATCTTGCTTCGATTTTATGCATGATGTGATTATAGGAATGAAAAGAAAAGCGTACAACCCTACTATAAACTAGTCATCTTTGACTATAAATTTCTTCGAAAAATGAAAATAAAAATATCAAAAAACAAAAATTTCTGATATTTTAAAAAATTTTCTATTACGAAGGAAAGCGCTACATGAAGTTGTTTCAAAAACTAGTTTTTCACGGCTCCATTTTTTGCTATTTCAAAATCTATTATAAGTTGTTTTTCTATCATAACATCTATAATGTTCTAAATTATAGCCAAAAATAGCTCGAAATAAAACTCAAAATGAGTTAAAACCGTTGAAAATTGAGCTTAATCCGTTTTAGACACCAGATGCGGACAACACTGCAACACCTGATGAGGGTTTGTCGTGGGAGTTGATCTACCCCAAAACAACCACAGCGATATTTTCACTGGCGGTTTCAAATGTCATTCTCTCCTCGATGGGCTGCGCGGGAAATATCTTCATCATGGTCATAATCTCAAAGTGGAGCAATATTTCATCAGGAGCTGCGTTCATGTTCAGTTTGGCTCTTGCAGACTTCCTGAGTGGATTTTATGATGGATTTGTGGACGAACTTCTGCCGCTTTTGGGACTGTCACTGGACTTAGTAAACAGCTCACTTTGCGCCATTTGTACCTTTATGAACCGCCTGACAACAATTGCGTCATTTTGGATCACTGCGCTATTCAGTGTTGACAAATGCTTTGCGGTGATATTTCCGTATAGGTATCGCGTCTGGGGAAAGCCGAAAGTTTGTGTAGTCGCGACATTGACTGTGTATATTTTAAACGCAGCTCTCACTGTGCCCGATCTTTTTGTGCTGGGTGTTGACAATGAGTACAGTGGTATGTGCCATGCGGTCAAGTTTGACATCCTCAGTCGCTATTTATACTTCGAGCTCCGAACGCCAATCATTATCTTGTTCGGGGCTGGTTTGCCAACTGCGACTGTAGTAATATGCGCGCTCGTTACACTGATCAAAATACGATTGGACCAAAGAAAACGCTCCGACCAGAGCGGCACTAGCAAGCAGAGAAACTCGCCAAGAGCACGCCTTGATGCCGAGATCACCAGGCAAATGATTGTTGTATGCTTTCTGTTCGGTGTTATAATGGTCACCTCCTCTGCAATAATACGGGTCAATCATGGATCGGAACCGAAGACGGCCGGAGACGAAGCAAAGTACACTCTTCTTGACCGAATCAATTCTGTTTTGACATCGATGATAAACGCGGCCAACTTTTATTTGTATCTAATTTTTGGGAAGAAGTTCAGAAACGACTTCAAACGTTTATTCCAAAAACAAAACGGCGAATAGAAACAAATTACATGACACGATTGGATACATTTTTTCTAACTATTATTCAAAATGCACGAAAATAATTTCATTTACAAACTATATTATTATAGAAACTATTATTTGATTAGAAATACTTTCCTTTAAAAAGATCCTAATTATCGGCAGCTCCTTCCATTAATTGTTAAATGTCTGCGTTTGCTCGAGAAAAAAAATATTGTTACTCATGTTTTTTTATTAGTATTAGCATCAAGATTGAATCGGAAAATGGTAGCCTTGACCCTTGACACAAGAGTGCTTGGTTTTTACTCTTATGATTACATAACAAAACAAAACGCTCGTATCGAGGCGACGTACTGAATGTTCCGACTGCTCTTCAATGTCTATGAAGTAGCGTTCAAATTAAAAGAAATAGAAAATAAACCAGACTGTTTGTATCAGGGCGAGGCCCTGAATGTTCCGATTTCCTTTTAAGGTCCATGGAGCAGTAAAAACATGAAAAATTAAATGTAACCAAAAAAAAATATTTTTTTTAATACAAATTTTAATTTTTTAGTGAAAATCATCCCCCACACGCCATATAAAGAACAAACTGATAAATTACACTCCTCATAACTAATCAGTTATGGCAAAAAAAGCTTCCTTCAACCAATTTGGAAAGATTTCTAAGGCGGATTAAATCTCAATTTACGAGTTAATAGCTTAAGAAATTTGGCCAAAATGGCAATCTTTAAGCCCCGACAACTTTCTGAAAAATGATCACAGTTTAGGCTTAAGACATCAATACCTTTTAAATGATACAAAAAATTTTGGTCAAAAATCTAAATTTGTCTGAAGAAAAAACCCACCCCGAGCACAAATTTTCAGTTACTTTCGTTACAAAAGTCAGAACAAAAAGTCATTCACCACACGCTACTTAGAGTTCAAGGTGACATGTTTAGCGTATAGTAGCGTACTAATCAGATTAATCGGCATGCTTCCTTTCAGTTTGGGACAATTTTTTGGCCGGTTTAAATTGCCGCTTACGCGTTGATAGCACGAAACAGCTCGCGCGTTAATTGTCACAAATCGGCAGGGTTTAAGCCCTCTTAACTTTACGAACAAGGTCACGGCCTTAGATTTTCAGCTCAGGACAACAATACCATTCAAGGGTAAAAAAATTTTGAAAAACGGCTAGTTGAATGGTTGGCTTTGGTCAAGCGAAAAGAAAACCACCTGGAGCACAGATATTTCGTCACTTTCTTCGCATTCTAAATTTTCTATTTTTTCCCAGGTTTTTTTAAAATTCTTTGTTTTTCAATTTTTTAAGACTTCATCCACAACCTATTTAAGGCACAAAGGAATTTTTTGCACAGAGAAAGTTATTGCAAAGAGCAAACAGCCTAACTCAATTCAAGTTACACAATTTGTATAACGAATCAAATCTCCATCAACGTGTTAAATGCAGGAAATATATCGCGCAATAATCATCTTATCCCAAGTTTACAGAATTGGCAATACCCAAATCTCCATAATTTTTTCTAAAAAAGACCACCAGAAAACTATGTATACAAATTTGTATATGAGACATAACAAAACAGGTTATTTACTAGAAAAAAATTAGTAAAAAAGCTAGTAAAAATCCAAATTCGTCTGGAGAGGAGAAACCTCCCTCAGCTCAAATGTTCTGGCATTTTCTTCGAATGTTGGAACAACAAAATTGCTCGTATCCAAGCTAAAGCCCTGAATTTTCCCTGTGAAATTCATAGAATTGTGTTCAATATATATTTTTTGAGAATCAGTGTCACGGCATGTACAGTACACATCGATAAACTGCGCTAAAAATTAACTAAGAACTGCCCTATATCATATGCCTGCATTCAATTCGAACGATTTCATTTGCCGCGTTGCGTGTTATTAGAATGCAATATATTGCGCATTAACCATCCCAAATTGGCTAAGTTAGCATTATTGAAAACCCCGAAAAAATGCGGAAAACGATCACAGGTAATCTTGTTTTTGTTTTATTTGGTTTCCGCGCCATAATTCTTTCAGAATTTAAAAAAATGACTGAAAAAGAGAACTCTACCCCAAGCGAAAATCTTTTTTCTTTCTCCTTAAGCCGAAATAATTGTGATAAAATTTTTGCTTCAAATCAACTTAACGTGATTTAGAAGCCGGATTATTTTGGGATTATGCATTATAGAGCCTATTAAATTGCGTTCTAATTGACCCAAAATGGCTATTTATAAACTCCCCAATATAGTACAAAAAAATTGTAGATAGAAAACGTGATCAAAATTGAGCTCAGGATATCAGATTCTTGGGTATAAGATTTTTTACCATAAATGGCTAGTTAAAAAATTCGAATTCGGAGAAAACAGTTAGCCACTTTGAGCAAAAACATAACGTCACTTTTTTCAAAAATCGGAAGCCTGCTCGCATCTTGGTGTAAGCATAAGTATTTTGAATGCTTTTGAATTACTCCGAATCATTTTTTGTCTTGTATTTTTTCATATTTCCCAAACACCCCAATGCTCAAATGCCAAAGTGATTTCGCGATTTATTCGTAGGAGTTGTTTGATCGCATTAAAAAATTTTGTCTTTTGTCTTTTTTTGTTTGGTATTCAGTAGAAACTCAGTAGGCGATGTTTGGACGCTTCAACTTTTAAGCAAAAAAATTGAATATATTTTTCACCAAAATCACGATTGGGAAAACCCGTTCTACCAATTGAATCATAAAATCCAGAAATTACGAGGCCAAACTGTGCACTGGATAAGCGCACAATTTTGTGTCTGTATGTTCCTGGATTCCATAGACAATTCTTTAAACATGGTAAAATTTTGTCGGAGCGATCAAAGAAAATGGAAGAACAAAAGAACAACAAGGGGAGCGTCTTTGTTGCGGAATCCGCTTATAATGCACCAAATGCACAGTTTGGCCTCGTAATGAACTTAAAAAAGTATTTTTTGAGAAAAGTCAAAAAATTTCAAAAAAAGGTCGAAAAAATTGAAAGTTTGGACTTTCTGAGGGTCATAACAGATTGTGTATAAAATTTTGGGCGTAACCGTTTAGGCAGGGGAACTTCGGGCAACCTGTACTATCTGTTCAACCCAAAACTTTATAGGAGAATGGTCTTTGAGAAAAGTTCCAAAATCCAAAAATAGAGGTAAGAGTCTCCCCTCCACAAACTTTTTCGAAGGCTGTAGAAAATGGGGTAAGGTAAAACAAGCCTGGAAATTCACGCAAGCACACAAGGTAGTGAGCAAATTTTTCATTGGTGCCACCTTATCCAAAAAAAAACGATAATGAGAAAAACTAATTTTATTCAAAAAGTGAAAAAAAATTCGCAAAGCGTCTCAAAAAAAATGATTTCATACATTTTCGTAATACTTGTTTTTATCAATCAGGAATTTTAAAAAAATTTCCTTATTAAAATTTCTTTTTTATAGAATCCCACTTAATTTTAACTGAATTTTATATTTGAAGAATGGAATTATTCTGCAAAAAATGATTAATTTTCCAACAGAGCACCTTGTTAAGTGCAAAGAGATATTATGTATAGTTATCTCTCTTTGGAGTTTTTTGCCTTTCAGCTCAGTTTGAATAATTTTATGAGCCAAATCATTTCGCTCAGGTCCTAAATAGTAATACAAAAACAAAAAATCTTCGATGAAAGTTTTTGGCTAGAAAAACAAAAAACAAATCGATCTTGAGAAAAAGCAAAATATTTAATTTTTTGAGATATTGTTTTCAATCACTAAAGTTTTGCGATCGCAATTATTTTCTTAACAAATGTTTAGGTCCACTGAAGATTTCGACTCTCTAAATTTAAACTTAATGAATTTTCACCTTCAACTTTTTTGATTTTTTGTGGTTTGAGAAAATGCAATCTGGGAATGCTCTGATTTAATTTATACCCTCTGCGAAAAAATTTAAAAAAATCAAAACAAAAACGGTCAAAAAAAGAAATTGTGACCTTTTAGAGGGTCATAACTTTTTGTGCGTAAAATCTTCGGCGTAACCGCTTAAGCAAAGAAACATCTCAGAACCTGTTTTATCCATTGAAACCAAAATCCCATATTAGGATATTTTTTGAGAAATTGTCCAAAATCCAAAAACAGAAGTAAGAATAGAAATAAGAAATAGAGGTGCCCGAAGGCTGTAGAAGAGTAGGTAAGTTTAAAAAACTTAGGAATTACGCAGGAACACAAGGCAGTGAGCAGATTTTTTATTGGTGCCACTTTTTCTTAAAAAATGATAAATGAGAAAAATTAAATTTTCTTCAAAAAGTGAAAAAAAATTTGCAAAGCGTCTCAAAAAAAAGTTTATTTCATACATTTTCGTAATACTTGTTTTTATCAATCAAGAATTCAAAAAAACTTCCTATTTAATCTTAACTAGTACAAATTTGAAGAAAGAAATCATTCTACAAAAAATAATTAATTTTCCAACTGCGCTCTTTGTTAAGTTCAAAGAGATGTTATGTATAGAGTTATCTCTTCTAGAGTTTTTTGCCTATCAGTTCAATTTGAAATTACTTATGAGCCAAATCTTTCTGCTCCAAGATCTACGTAGTTTTACTGTTCCATTACCCGGGTTGGTACAGTCTGACTTTCCGACGCACGCACGAAACAACGTTAAAGGCGTTATCATAGAAGTTACAGTGAAAAGGAGGCTCAGAATCTTCTAGTTTTTTGAATTTTCAAAATTTCGATTTGGTTTAGAACATTTCTATGAGATAAGAAAAACGGCCTTTTTGAGCAAAAGTAGACGGACAATCACAAAAACCGGAACACAGCCAATTTGCAAAACGGAAATTTGCTGGAAACGAAGCCTCCAATCGTGAGAACAAGACACGATAAGGCGCTTATTGAAAAAAAAAATCGTATAGATGGAAGGTTCAGTGGGGCATTCGGGACAGATCTGAACACTCTCCTGCCACAAAATTCGAGAGATAATGACCTTATCTCCGGGAGAGTGAAGAATCAGATGCCCGGTGCCCAGAGACTATTAGAGACATTAACGATATATTTGAGCTGCTGTAATGCCCTGAACATATTTAATTAACATATCAAACATATTAAACTCCAATATCGATTTAGTATTTCAGAGCATAAGCAGTTACAATCCATCTCTTGTCGATTTAGTACATAACTGTCACTGAAAACATACATAATTGTGGTTTTCTAGCCGTGTTTTTAATAGTAATCACCTTGTCTGGGGATCTGAGACCCAGCTATATGGATATATCTGCATCTAAAGGAAAGCTGATCAAAAGTCGTTTGGCTGATGGCCTAAAAATGGTAACGAAATACTTAGCTCCTAACGGACCAGTAAAACAACTGGCTAGGTCAAGACGGTCAAAAACTAGTAAAATTAAGGTAACTGACTTCAGCCAGTCGTCATTAGGTACTTTTTCTACACTCCGTCACTGTGTAATGTCTGGGCGAATGTTACATACTAAAATGAAAAAATCGATAATTTGTTTTGGCTAGAATAACAAAAAACAAATAGGAAAAGATATTTTAATTCGATTTCGAGAATATGCGTAATATTTAATTTTGAGAGGTTGCCCGAGGTTGTTTTCAATCAATAAAATTTTGCTATCGCAATTATATTTTTTAACAAATGTTCTAGTCCATTGAAGATTTCGACTCTCTGAGTTTAAAGTTAACGAATTTTCTTCTTCAACTTTTTTGATTTTTTGGGGTTTGAGAAAATGGAAACTGGGAAAGCTCTGATTTAATTTATACACTCTGTGAAGATTTTTTTTGAAATTGAAAGCGTAACGTGATTTAAACATGAGTGCTAAATTCTACCGCTTTATAAAATCTATTATGTTGTGGGCTTTTCAGAATCCGTTCTATCCATTGAGCCCAAAATCTCAGACTTGTAGGTGTCTTGTTCGAGGAAAAGTCAAAACGTTAAAAAAAATCGGTTTAAAGAAGTAGAGTTTTGACTTTTCTCAGGTTCATAACTTTTTGTGCTTAAAATTTAGGCGTAGCTGCTTATGCAGGTGTTTTCTCACAACCTGTTTTATCCATTGAACCCAAAATCCCATAGGAGGATACTTTTTGAGAAATTGTCCAAAATCCAAAAAAATAGGTTGAAAATCCGCCCACCACACACTTTTTTGAAGGCTGTAGAAAATGGGTAAGGTAAAAAGAGCCCGAGGAACTACGCAGGCACACAGGGTACTGAGCAGACTTTCCATTGAATATACTTTTTTTAAACACTAGAGTAGTTTTTGAGAAAGTTTATGATTTTTTTTAAAAATTGAAAAGGATTTCCAAATTGTCTCAAAAAAACTTTGATCCCATACATTTTTAATACCTTTTTTGTCAATGGGGATGTTAAAAAAACTGCTTATTTCAAATTTAATTTTTCTCAACTGATCTTCCAATTTGAAAAATAAAAATATTCTTTAAAAAATGGATTAATTTTTCATCAGCGCACCTCGTTAAATGCGAAGAGAAATATTGGGTATAATTAGCTTTCAATAGACAATGTTGCCTTTCAGTTCAGTTTGAAATCAATTATGAGCCAAATCACTTTGCTGAGCAGCTACTTAGAATTAGAAAAAAAACAGTATGTGTAGATAAATCATTTTGGTTAAAATAACAAAAAACAAATCGGAAGTGATGTTTTGTTTCGATTTTGAGGAAATGCGTAATATCTAAGCTTGAGATGTTATTTTCAATCATTGAAGTTTTGGCGATCGCAATTATAGTTTTTTAATACTTGTCTTAGTCCATTGAAGATATCGACTTTCTGAGTTTAAATTTAAATGGATTTTTATTTTCAATTATTTTTGGACTTTTTGAGGTTTGGGAAACTGCAGACTAACCATGCTCTGAACTAATTCATACTCTCAGTGAAAGTTTTTTATTATATTGATAGCATAATGCAAATTATATATGAGTGGCAAATTATGCCGCCCTACAAAAATGTTCTGCCAAAAACTATTCGATGTGAGTTAGTGTGCAGTCGGAATATTTGGGGTTTTACCCTGACTTGTTAGCAATAAACTTTTGAGATATATGAATGTCAGTCAAACATTGCTGGTAAAACTTTTAAACCTGTCCATCTGCAAAAAAAAATTGTCTTTTTCTTTGAAAGACAGAAAATCGAATATTTCAATTTGATTTCTCTCCTTCCCTTCAATTATGGACTATTAAACAAGACTGCTCGTATCAAGGCGAAGCCCTGAGTGTTCCGACTGTCTTGTAAGGTCTATGAAGCAGTGTTTGCTTTTACCACAATTGATGACACTTTCGAAAGTAAATAAATATTAATCTCAATTCAAGTTACTGTAGTTCTCTTCTTTTTTGTCTAATGGCACCACAATTTTAAAGAAGAAACGCGCCTAAAGATTCCAGTTTTGTTCGTTTTGTCAGGATAATTAAAATCAACACTAAATGACTTTTCACATATTGATTTAAAAAATGTTATATTTTAGCACTTGAATCGTATGAAAGAAAAATTTTTGAAAGAGAAGTCCGGCTTTTCAAGTAAAGATCTGATATTTTTCGGCGTTGGAAGATAATTTAGATAAAATGACAAAACAAAAATCTGTTAAAAAGAACTGGTAGAAAAAGAGGTGTATTTACTACACATGAATCGAATTGTTTGGGCAGTTGCCTTTATTCTGAAATTAACTTCTCAGGAATCTTTTTTAAAACGTGAACATAATCTATCCGTTAGAATGTTGTACTATTGTCGTCGTTCATTTGAAGGAAACAAAAAATTAAAGGACCAGCTATGCTGAACAGAAATTGAAACTTTCTAATTCCGCTGTTTGAAAAAGAATTAAAAATGATCGATATTTAATGTAAATTAACTCAATTGGTTTTGCAATTTGATGAACTTGGGATCTGGTGTGTTATCTGTGACGACTATAAAACTCTGGCTTGAATGAGGATCGTTCACGGCAGCTATGAGCCGAGGGTGTTTTGTGCAGAACTGAAACTCTTCTTCAAGTGTCGAACTCGTCTTTCCACTTTTCGTTTCCAGCAAATAGATACTGTGCTTGTCCCGGTCACATAGCAAAATTTCGTCGGCCGACAGGAAGGCAATGCCACTCGGCGCTCGGAGCAGCAAGTCGTCTTTCCATATAAGGAACCAGAGCTGTCGACCTTTGAGATCAAACATGCGCACCTGCTGAGTTCGCCAGCTGGTGGCGACTATGACGTCATCGAACGGTGATGCGTCGAGAGAAGTCACGTGATGCATGTTTAATTGGAAAGATTTCCTGACACGTGGCGAGTTTTCACTCACGATATAGACTCGTGAGTATATGTTTTGTCGAATCGAATCCGTCTCGTCGACAATTGCGATGTCGCCGTTACGGAGGACAGCCATACAGGTGGGGTTAGTGATTTCTTCGAGGGTGTCCCACACTTTGATTTCTGTCATGTCCTCGTTCAGAATTGAGATCCAGTTGATATATTGTCCACTGATCAGTCTGGCTGTTTGAGACACAAGAATAAAGTTGGACTCCAGAATAACCAGGTCTTGTATGCCTCGCAGCTCCCCAACGGAAGACTTCATCACCAAACCCTAATAAACGCAATAGAAAAACTTTTAGTCAACACTTTTCTGACGTATGAATTATTTGAAAAAACAATTGAAAATCAAGCATATCCTCCAAATGAAAAACGTTACCAGATTAGAGACCATAACTAGCTTTTAATAGCTTTTATGGCCAAAATGAATCTTTTGTGACATTATTCAAGTAGCATCTGACGTAAAAAAAATCCACTTACAACTACCTCAACTACCTAAAAAAAACTACCTCAAAAAACTAAAAAAAAAAAACTACCTCAAACTACTAACTAAAAAAACTACCTCAACGCCATAGTACTTTCGCACTCTTCGAGAGTGGTCGGAACAAACAAAAAAAAGTAATAAAAAATAAAAACATAAAAAAATAATCAAGATATATTTATTTTTAGTAGGTTAAAGTTATCATTTTTTTTTACCAAACATTGACCTACTTTCAAAGACAAGCTCAAAGTCAAAATGTGTCTTTTATCAAGTCCGTTTTCCCTCGACCCTTCAAGTATCGTTTATCTATTCCATAACTGAAAACGTATTTTAAGACCAAATGCTTGTTCTCCTACGCAGAAATTTTAATAAATTTGATTAAATGCAATTTCAATATATTCTCAGGTAACTGCTTGAAAATAGTTTGATTTTTTAAAATAATTGTGTTTTCAATCCGACCAGTGACAGCGGGGAGGAAAGCTTGTTTTCGGGTGTGTTTAATCTTTTCTTTACTTTTGTCACACGCAACTTCAAGTATCACAAAAGATCATCAGAATAGATGGAGTGACTTATCATATTAAAGCCCTGTCGTTCTAGATTCGAGCGATTTCGAGCAAAAAAACCGAGCAAGGAAGTATTCTAGAAGAAACAAGATTTCAAGGAAAACACACTTTCGAAGGTTCAATTAAATTCAAAAAAAAATCTGGAAAGAATGGAAAAAACTTAATCCAAAGGTAACACCAAAATTAATTTGTAACTCCAGAGGGCTCATTTTCAGGTTGATACGTGTCCATAACGACTAGCAGCTAGTTGAACAGGTTGATTCATTACGGCGCCAAACTCGTTTTTTATATCAGAGCACAAAAAAGTGACAACATACTTCTGAATTCAATAGACAGTTTATGTCTTAGTGGGTTAACATAACTATCGGACATGCAATCCGGTTCCAATTTTGCAGAATTTAGAAACAAACTCTGCAAAATCCAAGAAATTTCCAAGAAAAAATCCGGGCGTGGCGTCCTAATGTTGACAACTGCACTGGTTTAAACTCAAACAATGATCTATATGTAATTGATATACCAAAGCTGATTTATACTGCAACTTTTACCGTAGCTTATCCATTTTTACTTCGCCTTCTTGCATTTTCAACCTAATTCATTTACTCTTCAACTAAAAATACAAAAAATTTGTAACAAAAAAACTTCGACATACAAAAATTTATTTTATTCTTGTTAATTTTTCGAACTATTTCGATTGAAATATTTTATGCTGTTTGCAGAGGAACCGTCTTTCCTTTTATTAGGAAATTATGATATTAAAACTTCTTATCATATAATTTCCATAAATGACAAATTTCTTGTCATACAATTTCATACAATTCCATACGCACAGACAATTGTATGAAATCTCTATGACAAGCATTTTTCCATATATGAAAATTGTATGATAGGTGTTTTTCCATAAACCAAAAGTATATTTTTGTTTTCTAAATTCATTTTTTGAAACACTTTGGGTTGTGTTTGTAACGGCGCAAAGACAATTCGACCAAAGACATTTCAGCCCATTTGAAATTCAGACAATTCAGTATGAGACGGTTCAGCCAGTTTTACGAAACGCTAGATTCGACAGAAAGAAATTGGAATTGGAGATATTTCTCGGTTTAAGGTCGCCGGTAAGCGCGCTATGTGTGCGACGCCGCTTCGCGGCGATAACCCGCTCTAAATTTCGTATAGAGTCTTACCCTCTGTTGGCAAGCTCGCAGCGCATTGAGCGGTCACTGCGGCGGTCACTATTATTGGCTGAATTGTCTCAATGGGTTAACTTAACTATCGGACAAGCAATCTGGTTCCAATTTTGCAGAATTTAGATACAAAATCTGCGAAATCCAAGAAATTTCACAGAAAAAATCCGGGCGTGGCGTCCTAATATTGACAACTGGACTGGTTTAAACTCAAACAATGATCTATATGTAATTGATATACCAAAGCTGATTTATACTGCAACTTTTACCGTAGTTTATCCATTTTTACTTCTCCTTCTTGCGTTTTCAACCTAATTCATTTACTCTTCAACTAAAAGTACAAAAAATTTGTAACAAAAAAACATCGACATACAAAATTTTTTTTATTCTTGTTAATTTTTCGAATTATTTCGAATGAAATATTTTATTCTGTTTGCAGAGGAACCGATTTTCCTTTGTTTAGGATTACCCGGGGTGACTAAAACTTCTTATCATACAATTTCCATAAATGAGAAGTTTCTTGTCATATAATTTCATACAATTCCATACGCACAGACAATTGTATGAAATCTCTATGACAAGCATTTTTCCATATATGAAAATTGTATGATAGGTGTTTTTCCATAAACCAAAAGTATATTTTTGTTTTCTAAATTCATTTTTTGAAACACTTTGGGTTGTGTTTGTAACGGCGCACAGACAATTCGACCAAAGACAATTCAGCCCATTTGAAATTCAGACAATTCAGCCTGAGACAATTCAGCCAGTTTTACGAAACGCTAGATTCGACAGCAAGAAATCGGAATTGGAGATATTTATCGGTTTAAGATCGCCGGTGAGCCTCTATGCGCGCGACGCTGCTTCGCGGCGGTAACCGGCTCTAAACTTCGTATAGAGTCTTACCCTCTGTTGGCAAGCTCGCAGCGCATTGGGCGGTCACTGCGGCGGTCACTATTATTGGCTGAATTGTCTCTGGCTGAATTGTCTGCATACTTTGGCTGAATTGTCTGAATTTTAAATCGGCTGAATTGTCTTTGGCCGAATTGTCTGGACGCAGTTTGTAACCAAACACAAGTGTTAAAAACCTTGGTTTATTCAAAGCACCAAAGGTTGGACGGTATTGCATTTACAATACATAGAAAACGACCTGAATTGTCTTTCACAAATGATATAACAAAAGTCACAAACTTTTAATTTTTGGCAAATGTTTTCAACGATGATTATTTTAAATTTTTTTTCAAATTATCAGACATTGATCAAGGCATACATAAACACGCCATACAAAAGAAATCGGAATTTTCAGCGTTTTAGAAAAAATTTTAATTGAAAAGAAAAAAGCCAACATTATGGTATCCAAGACTACGTTATGCACCCAAAAAATGAAATTTTGCTTGCAAAAACTTTTTTTGGGAAAATGTTTGTTTGCGTATAAAATTCGATTTGCGGTTGAAAAAAAAAACAAAATTTTGGTGCAAATTTTCAAAATTACTTGGAAAAATTTTTGTGTCGCCATCAAAAAAATGCCAGTCATACAATTTGCATATATAGGAATTGCATGATGAGCATTTTTTTCAAAAAACGAAAACCTCGGTTTTTTATCGCCGCCAGACTGTTTTATTAGAATCAAACAGCCACAGAAATTAGTTAATATCTTTTCAACCATTTTTCGAAAGTGCATGAAAATTGTATAACAAGCATTTTTCCACACACTTGATGTATGGAATTGTATGATAAGCATTTTTGGTGTATGGAGGTCAAACTGGGTATTGTTATTGTTTTTATTATTATCTTGATCATCCTTATTGTAACGCCTATTTTTTTTCTAATACTTATGAAAAAAAATTACTATTAAGATTGTTATTTTAACTCTACCTGTTCGGGATGAAACTCCCTGATGTCTTTGTTGCTCCCATCTGCCAACAAAACACTCTCCCTTCCTCTGTTCACACCTACAGCCACGAAGAAACTCTCCATCTCTCTCTCTCCCTCTCCCTCCTCCTCAATGTCCATCTGCCCATCTATCTCGTCCCCACCCCTTCCTTCCCCTATGTTTTCGTCTCCCCCATCTTTCTGGTTTGCCTCCGTTTCACGCCTATACCTCTTTTCCAGTTTATTTTTTTTTGCTCTAAGTTATTTGAAATAGTTTTTTTATTTACGTAAAACGACATAAAAATCTTATAAAACTAGTGTGTTTTTGAAAAAAATTATGAAGGCGAACAGTACAAAAATATTATTTTTTTGACTATTTTGAAGTTAAAATAACTTTTCTATGTCATGAATTTATCATTTTGCGCAAAAACCATTTTAAAGCTGTTTTTTTTATTATTAGGAAAACTTTTACTGTGTATATGAAACTGGAAAACAGTCGCGCCTTTTCCTCTTCTCTGCCGTGGCTTCATCGTCGATCTCTTTGCAGATCCAGCAGAAGCAATCCCTGCTCACACCAGCAGCCTCGTTTCGCAATTTGCACTGTTCACGGATCAGACTTTTAGCATGCTCCATCATTTTGTTCACATTCGTCCGTGCTCCAACCTTGCCACAAATAACGAAGTTTTTGAAATGATTCAGATAAGCAAAAATGTTTTCGAGCTCAACTGTTTCTTCTGTCTTCTTATTGTTGTTGTCTTCTTCATTTTTATCAGCTGTAACTTTTTCGTCTTCATTCTTTTCATCTTGGCCTTCAGTTTGCTCAGACGATTTTTGTTGAACTTTTGATTCGGATTGAAGATTTTCAGACACGTCATTTGAAACTTCTCCATTTTCAACATTACTGTAGAGGCCGCCATCTTGCGTTTCATCTTCTTCGGTAACAATTTCTTCTTCGGAAGTTTTTTCCACTTCGACAATTTTCTTTGCATTTTCCAACTCTTCGTGTTCTTTGTTCAATTTTTCAGTCAAGTCCTCCAAACTAAGTTGCTCGCTCTCTCCCAGAGCAGGTATGACGTAATCTGGCTCGACCGTAACAACGACTACTGGTTTTCCCGCCCGAATTATGCAATGCAGTTGTTCGTTGAAAACACGACTCAATTCGGACTGACGCGAAACACATGCTATGACAATTTTGCTCCTGTCGACTCCTTCTTGGAAGCGCTTGGGGTCCTTGTCTTTCCAAATATGGAAACCCTGTTGCTCCAGAGTCCTCTCCAGTCTTTTGACATTGACGTCCATCTGGCTAGCGAACTTAGTGTTCACCTGATGTATAATCAGAAGCTCGTATGTTCTCAAAACCATTTTGCAAAAACGTAATTGAACACAGATTTTTAAAACTAATTCACCAAATAAGAACAAATTGAATGCAAATTTATTTGCGAATGTAACTGTTGTTGTTGAAAAAATTGAGCATGTAATATGCTATTCGAGTCGAATTTCTCACGTGTAAAACTGTATAAAAATGATATTGCACGCTCCGCCTAATACTCTGCGAGAGTAACAAAAACTAAATAAGAAACAAAAGTATTCGATTGCTATTCAAGCAGAGGCGGATCATGGATTTTTTTTCAAAAAAGGGTGGATTTCAAAATTTTTAAAGGGGCGGAGTTTCTGTCCAAGTTTTTCAGGTTAAAGTGTCCAAAACACTACAAAACCTTATGTTGCAAAAATGCTCCACGCCACATGCAATTTTGCAGACCAACTTTTCAACCTAGTAAAAAAGTCAAGGATAACTTTCTGAAATCAGAAATGAGTGCTCTTTTCCAGTTTCCCCCCTTTCAAAATACCGAGTTTTATGTTTGTTTTACGTGTTATTACGGCTAAATGCGTGATGTTACGCTGTAAAGTATGAAGAACAAATCTGTTCAAAATTGTCGATTTGTTCACCACGCCAAATTTCATTGCATTATGACAACGTTAAATAGAATTTTCAGTATTGAGTTTGAAGGGGGGGGGGGACTGGAAAAGAGCCAAAATGAGGAAAGAAAAATGGTATCCCCTTCAAGTTTCCTGCCTACACTGTCAATCCCCAGATATCTAAAATCACGTAGCAAAAAAAATTGGTCACTGCCACTACTGAGAAGCTCAAAAAATGAGTTAATTTGACCGGGCATTTGTTAGTTTCAACCGGGAATTTGATTTTTTCCTCTAAGGAACTTAGTTCACTAGATTTCGCAGATTTTCATCTTGCTTCATGTTAAATTAAAAATCAATCAACAACTCAGCGCGTTTGGCGTTGAGATAAGCAAAGGCTTGTGGTTTGAATGCAACCGGGACCTTTTTTGCGGCCGGTTCAACGTTCTTCTAAATAGCTACTGTTTCTAAAGCCTAATTGATGGAGCTAAATGAGTTACAAGCTTTTTTTTGCAGGATTTTAGTTTTCTTTTCGAATTTTTTTTAAATCAGACATAAAATAGGAAAAATAAACTTTTTAATTTTTTTTTGAATACTTTTGCTAGGTTCGTTTAAGTGCACTGATTTACTACGTATGCAACGATTGTGCTCGCGTTTAGCAAGCGTTATCAATTCGTTACATAGACTTTTTCTTGTAAACAACTTAACTCACAAAACCACTGAAACATTTTATCAAATCTGTACTTTGGTCAACCAACAGACATTCTGAGAGTGTTTCCCTTTCAAATAACCGTTAAATAATCATGATTTGTTTTTTTTTGTTGGTTGTTGGAACTTCATAACAAAAAAAGCAAAAAATTATAATATAATGCTCTCTAAACAGTTAAGTCATGGTTTCCTTGGGTAGTTTTTGCTACCATTGATTTTTTCAAAGAAATAAAACATTTTTTTGTAGTTTCTTACATAAGGAAATCGTTACACCATAATCATAAGAGAAAAAAGTCAATGTTAACGCGGCTAACAAGGCGTCTGTTTTTATAATGTAGTCATTTCATTTAGAACTTTTTGGGTCAGTTTTTAGCAAAAATGTTACTTAAAACTGAGAAAACCTTTTAACCTTAGGAACTAAAACTTGAACTAAATTAACTCTTGTTTCGGTTTTTGCTTAAAATTTTTATTGGCCGTAGTTGATGAAATTTTTTTCTGTTCAGCCTCAGCTTATCGCAATAAGTTATGATATATTGAATTGTTCACAAAAATGTTCAGTTGGAAGATAGTTGTTCAAAAGCCCATATTCCGCAATTGCTAAATAAGCGTGAAAGCCTATGAATGAAAAAGAGTTGTTCGGAATATGGGGTGAAAATGTTACCAATTATTCTGTAAACTCTGAATTCAAATGTTATTTTGAGTTTTTCCCGCCCGTCCTAACTGTCATAGGAATATTTTGGTGCCGTGACTCGTGAAAATTAAAATAAAAAAACCCGATATTCATCTTTATCCTGCAAAGTTGAAAACAAGTCGGTGCGGACGCAGATTGTTTCGCAAAAGTTTTAGCAAATTGTTTATTTTATATAACAAAAATTTTGTCGACATTTTTGGTTATCTGTCGAATTAGAACAGTCATTCAAATGTGGGCCATATTACTTGAATTTGAGACTCATTGAAATTGAAGCAATTGATTTTGAGGTCAATTTACTTGAATTTGAGACCCCTAATTTTGGGAGTTTGAAAATCGGATTCTTTCATGTCGCCCGAGGTCTTACCCCAGTGGTAGCTGAACCTTAATCAAAACGAAGAAAGCATCAGTTACCGCATTCTGAAGACAAACTACGACAAAAAATTAGAAAAACAGCAAAAACTTGTAAGAATATTAAATTTTAATCCCATTGTACAATGAATTTTGAGTACAAACCGAACCAAAACCTACCCTAATTCTTGAATACTTGTTAACATAACTTGAACAAAAATTTTGAAATCCTAGAAAAAACGGCTTAAGGGTTTTCATAACCAAATTTTAAGTGATGTAGAAAAACTTTAGAATACCTCAGAAAAGTTTTGACCCAAACTTCAAATTTTTTTTGCCAAGAACGTAGAAAAACACCAAAATTTCTCCGCCCCGAATTTCCTTTTGTTGAATGAGTTGTTTGAGCCGATTTCTTACCTCAGATTTTGCTCCTAGGGGTTGTCTAAAACTTATAACAATTCACTTATCTCGACCTTACTAGTATCGATTTTTTGAATCGGTCCGATAGCAATACGTCGCATGTCGACCCCAAAAACGTTCTCCCAACGTCACTGCTCGTTCTTCGCCAGAGTTGTGTGTGTTGGTTTGGATTGATTTCTTACCTTGGGTTTTGCTCCTACGGTTGTCTGTTTTTCATATCAATACACTCAACTAGTCCGCTTCCGTTCGCGTCCGCTTGCGTTTCAGTCCGTAAACGAACCACCTTAGACCGTACTCTTTGGGAGTGCAGTATCGTGCACACATAGAAATAATCGTACAGTTCATCCAAAGACCTTGTCATAAATTATTTTTTTCTTAGAGTCTAAGACTTACCTTAAAATAACTTAAAGTAGCGTTCTCTAGAACTATTATGGTTTTCACCTTAGGAGCAAGCTCTCTTTTTTTGCAATACAAGCTCATTCCCGACAGCTGAGAGATAGATTGCAAAGAAGTTGTTTGTCCATAAAAGAACTTTCCTTATAATATTTTGCAAAAATCAAAAAAAAACAGTGCAACATACTTCACATTATAACCCACAGTTAGCTTAGCGGAATGATTTTGTTTTTTGGCATGACCTAATCAACAATTCTATAAGTAAGCATATAAGCAACAACTTTCAATGTTTGTCCGTATTGCAATTGAATCGACTATTAAAAAATTATAGAAATCGATTAACTGCGACCATTTATTGTCACCGAGAGGGCACAGACAAAATTCTCCCCGTTTTATAGGAGTCTCCCCCTTTAACTCTTTCAGTTCTAAACCATATTAATTCTCAATAAAAATGCAAAAGTTAAAACCATTCAAAAGCAATGTAAAGCTTTGCATCAAGTTTCTCGTCTCGAATTGAAAACTTTAACCATTTTTTTTACGACAGCCAAAATTTGAAAACCATTGTTGAAAAGTAAAACGAAAAAACAAATATGGTAAAAATCAACGAAACGCTTTGAAAATGAAGCAAATTAAACTGGCCGCCCAGAAGGTCCCCATAAAACAAGTTGGCCGTTTTAATTCGAAGTCTTTGCATAAGTTTTAAACGAGTTTAAATTTTCGTTTTCTTTGTCAATTGAATTACTTTAATTTATTTGAAATTTAATTGATTGAGTTGCCAGCATCTTTTATCTGTTAACGTTAGGATAGTAGGCCAGATAAAATTGCTCATAGCAGTTCTTTGGTTCAGCCAGAACTTTTTCCGAGTTGATTACACTGTGGTAATTTCTAACCTCGGGTTTCGCTTCCAGGGGTTGTCTGACGCTCAGTGTAGCCACTTGTTGAACGATGGCTGCCGACCCGTCTTTGCTTACCACGAACGTTCCCTCGTCTCTGCCACCAATGGCGTCCAATCTTGCCGATAAGATCAACCGTCTCACGCTAGCTAAACCAAGCATGAAAAAGAGTTAGATATAAACCATGAGTGCATATTTCAGGCCATTGAAAGGAAAGACCGCACTGTGAAAATCAAAAAATGGCTTCAAAGTTGTAAAGAATGGTCGGAAAGACCCGTCTCCAAAAATGAAGAAATCCTCTTTTTGACCTCACAAGAATCTGACAAGCAGCCTTGGAACATTGGTTAGCTAATAACACACAAAAACGATGAAATTCTTACTAAAACCCGACAGTATCTTGACGCCAAACAGACCCTCAGCCACTTTGAAAGTGTTAAATCACTGAGCTCTTTAACTATCAGAATTCGAATTTTTCATTAATCACTGGTGGAACCGTCTTCTACCAGCCGGAGTCTGAGTATCATTTTCCGGATCACCGAGATGACGGGTTCAATTATTGTAATATTGATGACAACAACCATGTTGATCAAAACAAGCCGCCCTACCCGCCAATGAACGAATAAAAATCTCTGAGTATCGAAGACTTCGCTGAGATTATTACCATGAACCGTAAAGATCCGCTACCAGAATGGAAATTGTCTCAATACAACGATAAACCTTTACATTGGCATGAATGGTTCGGCCAGTTTGTAAGCACTGTCGACCCCGCCCGTTTGAGTGATGACCTCAAGTTGGCATACTTGAAAACTCATGTGACTGGGAAAGCCAAAAATTCCATCGCTGAAATAACGCATTTCGATGTTATGTATAAAGATGCCTTGAACACTTTTATTCGGGAATTTGGCCAGCTACAAACGGTAGTTAATGCTCATCTTGACAAACTAAATTGTTCTCCACCGTTGAAGATGCTTTATTCCGACAGCATTATAAGTTTTGCTTCAACCATCTCAAATCTTGTTGGTGTGTTTAAGTCACTCTCCTATAACCAGGATTTGGAAGGTGTTGCTTTGTTGAACCAAGCATTAGGTAAACTGCAACCCAACTTTAAACAATCATGGGCTCAT